CCCTGCTGTGTTTGTTCAAGAAGCAAGTTAAGCTATTCCTAACAGGAAACAAAACAGGCAGCTGGGCTATTAAGCAGGATCCTTGGCCACACTGTGAGGCCCTGGATGCATCAATTGCTTTTCAGAACAGGATTAGAAGTGTGGTTGCCTTTAACTCTGGTTTTGAGAAGACTGCTGTGCCTGCTCAGAATTCTCAGGCTGATATTAACTAATACCAGGCCAGCAACACATAAAGCACCTTCAAAACCTCAAACTCCAAAAGCATGTGAAAACAGCACAAAATGAAGGCAAGGGGTACCAGTGTGTGGAAAAATTAACCCACATAAACAGCCGATGAGTATTTTTGCCTTTCAGTATGCAAGGCCCCACTCTACAGTGATTAAGTTAACCACTGAGTGAATTTAGTTCCTACAGACAGAATCTACTCGAATGAATAGGCAACTTGAAAAATGGGCCTTTCTCCACACCCCCCCCACCCCCGCCCCGACCCCAACATATGACTATTGAATATGCATTTGCAATGGCTCTGGGTTAATTCTGCTATATTATTATAATAAAATGGGATTGCCTAGATATTTTTGTTGAAGTCAAGAAGTACCATGTAAAGAAAAAAAGGGCTAATCTTTCTCACATATGGATGTTTTTTTCATTATTGAATCAAAGGGCAATCAATACACTGGAGAAAGCTGTTCAATTTCCACCAAAAGGGATAGATCTGTGATGGCCTGAAGGCATTGGGTCTGCACACTACATGATTTTTAACCAACATTTCAGGATGCTGCATATGTATTTGCTTAAAACATTTAACATTGATCAGGTATGTCAACATTTGGGTTATAGAAAGGGTTGAAATTCATGGCCCATAAATGATCTTAGAGGTGCTTGAGAATCACAGGAAAAAGCAAAACAAAACCATTTGTTTTCAAACTATTATCCCAGAAAATAGTCATAAAGGGCTAGGAGATAAGTTTTGAAAGACTCTCAAAATATTAGACTCATGAAAACCGTAACTATAGACAGTATTCATCAGTGGCTGCTATGTGTAAGAAGGACACCCAAATAGGACAGTTTTAGTTGTAGATCAGCAAAGAGATTAAAATAAGCATGTTTATAGAGACATAACAATTTAAAATATTTATAGAGAAAACAGTTGCAGATGATACAAGATGGCACAAATGCAGACACCATATGGTCCAATGTATGCACTCATGACCTTGTGTGAGAAGCAGGCCAAAGATGAAGCAGCTGGAGATGCTTCCCTCTTACCCCAGAACAACAAACTCCTGAGTTTGGAAGGGCTCATTATAATCATGTCCACGGATGGGTGAAATCTACAGGTAATGTCAAAAATGTTTGGGAGAAATCCCTCAAAACAATTGTCTTTTGAAGCATTTGCTTTGTTTTGTGGGGTGTCAAACTCAATCAGCATGTCTTTCTGACTCATGTAAAGGGAGCAGTCGGGTAATACACAGAGTTTCTAACAAAATAGGAGGAGTCCGGCATACCTTCTGGCCTCTTTTCTCATCTCCTGATTATCATCAGGCTTGAGTCAGAACCACAGAACACTGCAGAGGTCCCAGACCCCCCCATCACATAAGACTGTTCACTTGACCTGCTCTAGAGCATCCTTGGACAAGCAAATAGTCACAGGAACTCTAAATTTTGTGAGTGTCCAGCATATGTCAAACTCTGTGCTAGGCACAAGTGAAAGAAGTAACTCTCAAAACCGCAAAGTTAGTCTCATTTCTGTTAAATAAACAAGAATCCTAAGGCTTAGAGAGCTCAAGTTACTTGCTCATGGTCACAAGTGAATGAAGGTGGGAATGGAGCCCACCATCTTTCTTTGCTGGGTAAGTGCAAGACAACCTATGTGAGGGAAATTGATGCTTGTAAGAACCTCATCTTTCCAGTAAAGGACTCTGCAAGCGTCACTGAGGTAACTCTGGGGAGGGCAAGGAGGGTGTGAGGGGCCAGGATGCTCAGACATGACCAATGGATACTGGTGGTCCTGAAGGAGGATGCCTTCCATCGCAGTGGGCCTGCAGTCAATGGCCCTCTCCTTCCAGCCCAGATACCCAGAGGTTTATATTCCATCTCCTCCAAAGAGCTGAATTGCTCAAAAACTACCCCAAAGTGTTCTGAAACCATTTCATGCAGGGTTCTTAATAATTTTTAATATTATTGTAACAGAGAAGACAATTCGTAGGTGAGGGATAGGAGGAAAAGCTATTTCATGTTATATAGGGCTGCAGAACAAGGCCCTTGGGTGGCCCAACATCTTTTGGAGACAGGGAAGCCACTGGGCATCTTCCTTGATTCTGAACTTTCTATGATCACAATAACGTGCTTCCCTTCACAGGGCAGGGGGTGTGAGTCAACACATGACAACAGAAGAAAGAGTTCAGTGGACTAAGTGCTGTTGAAGAATCAGATGTCCCAGCAACAACTGTTCTTACCATATCCTGCGTTGGTTTGTTTTGAACTTTGTTTAAACTTCCATGGCTGATGGCAATTCAAATTCACGAGGAATCTTCTACAACAGAATCCTTTTGTATATGGATCAGTGGAAAGTTGATGAACAAATGCCAGTAAGTTGGGGCCAGTCCATTTTTAGGCACTGAATTTATTAAATCCCTTTACAAAGAAATTTCAAATGTGGGCAATTAAGAAAGCGTGACCTATCAAAGATGCTAAGCCTTCCAGATACTCTGGAATTCTGACCATATATTTATCCTGGAAGTGGTTGCTCTACTCAAATACTTTTAACTTTTAATGAAGTGTTCAGTCCTTTTGTGATGGCACTGGAGTGTAATCAAACATCACCACAAGCCAAGTCACACACTAGCATGTCTCGCCTTGTTTAAATATTCAAATACATTTGAGCAATTGTGTAATGATTTCTAGGCCTCTGGTTGTCCATATGGTCTGAACAGACTGTCTTTTGTAGAGCAGTTGTGCCATCTCTCTCAATGAGGGGAAACCAAATTATCTCTGCTCCAAACTGGAGAGTCAGGGAGGCACTGCTGAAATTTCAGACTGGCACCCTTCCTCAACTCCTGAAACAAAACCATCCTTCATTGGGCCCCCAGAAATCACTGTGTCTCCTGGAAATCCTGCTCAGGTTTGTGAAATAGACAAGAACAAGGCAGCAGGCATCATGTGATATGTTTTCTGCCATAACTGTCCTTAGGATACAATGACATGCCATGGGGACGAAACAGCAAAGCCAGCACTGCAACCACATGGAATCTTTCTGGACAGAGAACATTCTAGATGGTGGATCCAGGTCATCTCAGACAGACAATGAGGACCAGTGAAAGGGTCTGGCCATTGCTAAGCGCTCTGTTCTAATGTTCTCTGGGTGGTATGGGTGACGAGACAAGAGAAGGAGTTTTGGGTTTTGCAGCTAGTAAAACCCAGGGGAGTTTGCAGAGATTTGGCTTCAGAGCCCAGAATCTAAACTTGATCACTGGGCCTTACTAATTATTCACATGATCTGACTCTCTAGGAAAGTACCCCAGGGAAGATCTGGAATGCGATGCTTGGAGGAATGTGCCAAACTTTACCCTTGACCTATTATTTGAGAATTCTTAGCAAAATGGGCAGAGATTTGCCCCCAAACCACTGGCCACTATAGGGTTCTTTGGTGGGACTAACTTGGCAGGGAGACAGGGGACAGAATCTTCTACAACAGAATCCTTTTGTATATGGATCAGTGGAAAGTTGATGAACAAATGCCAGTAAGTTGGGGCCAGTCCATTTTTAGGCACTGAATTTATTAAATCCCTTTACAAAGAAATTTCAAATGTGGGCAATTAAGAAAGCGTGACCTATCAAAGATGCTAAGCCTTCCAGATACTCTGGAATTCTGACCATATATTTATCCTGGAAGTGGTTGCTCTACTCAAATACTTTTAACTTTTAATGAAGTGTTCAGTCCTTTTGTGATGGCACTGGAGTGTAATCAAACATCACCACAAGCCAAGTCACACACTAGCATGTCTCGCCTTGTTTAAATATTCAAATACATTTGAGCAATTGTGTAATGATTTCTAGGCCTCTGGTTGTCCATATGGTCTGAACAGACTGTCTTTTGTAGAGCAGTTGTGCCATCTCTCTCAATGAGGGGAAACCAAATTATCTCTGCTCCAAACTGGAGAGTCAGGGAGGCACTGCTGAAATTTCAGACTGGCACCCTTCCTCAACTCCTGAAACAAAACCATCCTTCATTGGGCCCCCAGAAATCACTGTGTCTCCTGGAAATCCTGCTCAGGTTTGTGAAATAGACAAGAACAAGGCAGCAGGCATCATGTGATATGTTTTCTGCCATAACTGTCCTTAGGATACAATGCCATGCCATGGGGACGAAACAGCAAAGCCAGCACTGCAACCACATGGAATCTTTCTGGACAGAGAACATTCTAGATGGTGGATCCAGGTCATCTCAGACAGACAATGAGGACCAGTGAAAGGGTCTGGCCATTGCTAAGCGCTCTGTTCTAATGTTCTCTGGGTGGTATGGGTGACAAGACAAGAGAAGGAGTTTTGGGTTTTGCAACTAGTAAAACCCAGGGGAGTTTGCAGAGATTTGGCTTCAGAGCCCAGAATCTAAACTTGATCACTGGGCCTTACTAATTATTCACATGATCTGACTCTCTAGGAAAGTACCCCAGGGAAGATCTGGAATGCAATGCTTGAAGGAATGTGCCAAACTTTACCCTTGACCTATTATTTGAGAATTCTTAGCAAAATGATCGGGCAGAGATTTGCCCCCAAACCACTGGCCACTATAGGGTTCTTTGGTGGGACTAACTTGGCAGGGAGACAGGGGACAGCTGACTCGGTTGGCCTTTTTGCTCCTGTCCAACTCCAGGCTGCTGAAGTTGTAAGAGGAAAACCATTTCACTGGTCACGAACAGTGCTGAGCGCACAAGACCATGGAGGGCATGCACAGCTCGTGAGCTCTGGGGATGACTGGAATGCGATGGAAAAGAGTTTACCTTTTGTGCCTGAGGGAGCTGAAAAATAAGGGGAAAACAAAACAAAAAGAAAAAAAGCAATCATTATATAAGAAGTGAAGATTAACTGTAAAACTGTTCAGCTGCATTGGCAAATGAAAAGACCATAATTGGGAGAAAAAGAGGAAAATAAAACTAAAGCCAAGTCATTTCCCAAAATAAAGCTTCAGTGCTGATTATTGCATCTGCTGTCTGAATCTGTAGTGTCAACAGAGAGTCTGTGAGCAGGCATTTTGGGAATCGCCATGCCCAGGCAGTTTGGTAACCTCCCTGCAAAGCTGGACATGAGGTTCTGTCCAGGAGCCCAAAACACACACACTTCCAAGACCCAATCCCTTCTTCCTGTAGCCATCAGTTCCCACTGGAGGGGGGCTCACCAGACACATTTGTGGTTGGGAGAGGGGAGGGAGCAAGAGCTATTGGTCTCTAGTGGTTACAGATCAGGGTTTAGAATTATCTGGGCCACGTGTTGATTGTACCAAAGTTGAGAAACCCTGTTGTACATAAAGGTAAGACCGTTAGAAGTAGGTTATGCTTTGAAAGCCCATTTTCTTACTTTGTGGCACATTAACCGTTCCCTTTATTGGTGGTTGAGGAAGCATGCACAAGAATTTGTGCTTTTGAAGTAAAGCTGATATTCTTAGAACAACAAAAAGGCAGTCAGTCAATGCATAATATCCGGCATAATCACTTTCCCAATGGCACAGGCAAGGAACTGAAGTCACAGACATGCAAAAAGATGAACATTTACAAGATGTATTTGTCTATTTTTCTACATTGACACTATCAGGCTTAATGCCACAGTATTTGTGACATTATAGTACACAGTGTTTCAAAAAGCATTTTTCTATTCTGGAGTGGAATTAGTGTTATCTGCATATAAATACCAAATCTAAGAATTCATTTTTAAGACAAACTTCTTTCTTAGAGATTAACATTTATTGACTATGAACTCGTCATCAGGCACTGTATTAAGCCCTTTCTTTCTATTATCAAATAAAATCATAGAAACTCAATAGTAGGTACTCATATTATCCCCATTTTACAAATGACAAATAAAATGGAAATTAGAAGTTATGTAATTGTACAATGTCCCATAGATAATAAATTACAAAGCTAGATTGCCTGTCTTTAAAACACACAAATTCAACACAACTCCTACATTAACAAAGACCCCAAACACTTAAAAATTATGACCACAGACTTTTCTCTCTCTAGAGTTCAATATGTTTTTTTAATTGATTTTGAGAAAGAGAGGAAGGGAGAGGGATAGAGAGATAGAAACATTAATGATGAGAGAAAATCATTGATCAGCTGCCTCCTGCACACCTCCGTCTGGGGATCCAGCCCGAAACCCAGGCATGTGCCCTGACCGGAAATCAAACCGTGATCTCTTGGTTCCTGGGTCAACAACCAATCACTGAGCCACACCAGTTGGGCCTCTAATGTTTATAATATCATAAATACGAGGAAATGCAAGACAACTAAACCAGACATCATAGGGCCCCCATTTGCATCTTCTTTCCCCCCATTCTTTTTGCCTTTGGAAGAACGCTCTCTCTTCCCATGCACCAAGACCAGGGCTTTCTTCAACCCACCCTACAGCCCTGACCCTGTAGAGGAGCCCAGCAGAGGGCAGAAGGATAAATCCAGACCAACAAGATGCCTCAGGTCTCAGAGACTTCTCCAGGATGCGGAAGAATGCCCATGAAGGGCAGAACTCAACCTCTCCAACATGTATTTTTCAAGCAACTTTATCCTGAAAGGTCTTCCAATTTAAGAAGACAGGAATACCAGCATGCTTTTTGGATTCTTTCCTCCCAGTTATGGCTGTGACTATGCAAAAGGAAGTTCACGAGTTCTTCCAGTGCTTCTCAAGCGGTCGGAAAAAAAAATGTATGGAGAGGTGAGAAATCGAGCTTAAAATGAGAAATCACTTAAAGAAAAGTCTCTTAAATATTAAACATCTTTTCACACAACGGAAAAGAAATCTTGGAAACGCGAACATTCGGGGAATGATGAATGTGTGTTTCCTTAGGAAAGCATTTGCGCTGAATCACAGCTATGTCATATGAAATGCACGGGGGGCCATGAGAATTACAAATGTTTGACGAACTATAAAATAAATACCAAAGTTAAGCCCTGTGCAAACTGCTGGACTTGACAGGCCTCTCTGGAAGGAGACTTCCCTCTCTTTCTTGCTCTCTTTCTGGAAGTCTGATCTTCACGGAGCAGAAAACACCACTTTTTACCTCACTCGGTTGAGCATATGAGAAGAAATCCTGGGAGGAAAATGAGAGACCAGGCCTCTGTGGTGATGTCCTCTGCTTACGGCTGCCCTCAAACTTTCCACAAAACATATATTTTCCTCAAGAAATAGCTCATGAGAACAAAGAGCAGCTTTCCTATCGGAGCTTTTAAATAACATAAATTACAGCTTGCGATGCCCTAAACAGGTCAGACCACTGAGAAGGAGCCTCGGAATAGAACATAACAAATTCAGATCGGATCACTGGCAGCCGCAGATGCTACTGCTTAGGAGTCGGCCCTGGAGGACATACCGTTCACTCAACATGCACAAGCAGTATGCAGGGCCCCCAGCTGGGAGCCAGGCCCCGGACCCTGGGTCTGCCTTTGCCTCTGGCTGGAGTCTTGTGGCCCATGCCTTCCAGCCATTGGCCAAGGTGCTGTTCTCTAAAAAGCAATGGTGGAGGGAGGGCTGGGAAAGGGGCCAGATCTTGGATGGCCCGTAGGTGTTGCCTTGAGGGCCAAGTCTGACTGATTAGTAATGGCTGTCTGGAGGAGATCAACCTTCTCACATGTTGAGAAGGATTCTGAAGTTATGTCTGAGTTTTGTTAGAAAGAATGTAACAACCAATTAGCAATGTCTGTTGTGGGCTAAAAAATGAAGAAAAGCAAAACATATTCCTGGACATGATGATCTCGGAAGGTCTGAGCACATCTATAATTTTTATGTAATTATTTGTTTCATGTCTCTCTCCCACGAGGTCACGAGCTCCATGAGGACATGAGGAGGATATCTGGCTTGTATGTAAGTCTCCAAGCTGTGCCTGTGACTGGTGTTCACCTGTTAAAGAAGGCACCTTATTACTAGGGTATACCCAGGCTGGATGCCAGAGAAAGATAATTGAGGTAACCACCTGGATGCCACAGCCCACTGCACCCCCACACACCATGTTGATAACCCAAGCAGACGGCTTTCAAGAAGAAAACAGATATCTCTGCCACAAGAATAGATACGAAACGCTTGGACTCCCATATGCCTGGCACAGGCTTCTGTATATGTTGGGATTGTCTCACCAACCCATGGATGTGCATAAAACCCGAATGGGAAATTCCCCATCACCATGGGGCCTGAGGGGAGGCAACTTCTCTTCCACAAAGGCCTCTCCTTTTTAAGGCCATCTTGTCAGGCACTGCCTACCCAAGTTTCACCTCTCTGGGTCTGTTTCCTCACTCACTACAAAACGGTCTGCACAGGGAACTTCGGGCTCCCTCCAAGTCAAATGGCTCCAGATTGGATGATTCCATACCCAACTGTATACACCCTCCAGTCACTTTTTACAAGGAAGGGTGAGGAAAGAAAGAAGTCGTGGTGTGCTGCCAGCTTGCACATCCCTAGAAGAAAGCTGGGTGCAGGATGTATTCATGTGCCACTTCATGTTTGAACGTGGAAAGACTGAGAATGTGTCATTCAAGAGAGAATGAAGGAGAGGAAAGTGATGAAGAGGAAGGTGACAGGAATAATAGAAACAGCCACTCTTCAGTGAATATTCTCAATGGACCAGGCATTTGGCTAAGTGCTTTACTATTCTGAGCAATGCTGGTACTCACAGCGGACCTCTGGGTTAAATATTAGCATCATCCTCAGTTTATAAATGATGAAATGGATAATACATTTGACCTTTGAACAACATGGGTTTAAACTACATGGGTCCACTTATTCGTGTTTTTTTAATAAACACAGAAAAGGTTACTTTTTCTTCTTTATGATTTATTAATAACATTTTATTTTACCTAGCTTACTTCTTTGCAAAAATACAAGATGTAATACATATAACATACACAAAATAAAATGTGTTTTACTTGAAATTTTGTTATCAGTAAGGCTCTGGTTGACAGTAGGCTGAAAGGAGAATCAAAAGTTATATGCAGATAGTTGACTATGCAGGGGTGGGGCACTTTGGGGTTAACACTCAGGACCCGTGTTGCTCAATGGTCAAATGTATTTAGAATGGCTAAGTACAAGTTCACGCAGCCAGGAAATGCTTATGTTAAGGGCCAAAGTCAAGTCTATCTGCAGCCTACCTCTGCTTTAACCGTCAGGATCAAGATGCTGCTTCTCATGTAGACCAAGGGTGCTAGCACCAGGCTATGCTCCTGAAGCCTTTGGGGAACCTCTCAGGCCATTGCATCTGGGCATCTCCCGTGTGAGACAGGTGCAGTGAGTAATCCTGGCACCACCTCTTATGGGAGAGTCTGGATGGAGGACGGAGAATCCAGCCTATCAGTTCTCTCAGCATGTAACATCGGGTGTACGGTGTAGCCTAAATATTCACCATGCCCTCTCCTGTCACAGACAGGGACACATGTTCTCTCCTCCTCCTGGGACCCTCCCTCCCCCCACCTCCCTTGCCTAGCAAAGACCTCCACTCCTCTGGTCAGTTGTCATTGTCACAGAGAAGCCTTGTCTGACCTCACATATCATATGCCCTCATAATACCATGCTCATCCTATTCATAGCATAGTTACTGCCAATTGCAATAACTGCCATTCTGTCCCTTTTTTTGCGGGGGGGTGGTAACAGAAACCCAACTTTTAGCCAAGCTCAGCTAAATGACTCTACTAGAGCTTGGTGTGGCTAAGTGATTCAGACATGGCCAATGAGATGTCCATAGATATGGCTTTTCCAAATGATGTAAATAAAAGTATTTCCTCCAGCCTGCTGCCAGGAAGGGAGATATGATGGCTGGTAGCCA